AAGAATTGACCCCTTTATGACTAGACAGTAACTCTGACTGTCCAGGAACTCACTGTGTAGACTAGGATAGTCTTGAACTCACAGAGATCCACCTACCTCTGCCTTTCTAGTCCTGGCATTAAAGGCGTGCTTGATCCCTCCATCCCCTGCTAGACAGTACTTTCTGATGCTAATCCTTGCTGTTTAGTCTACTTTGTATGACATTATGATAAACTACACGACTTTTTGGGAGGTTTGTTTGATTTTCCTTGTGAAGAAGCCTGGTTACTATTTTAGCTTGCTGTATCTTCTACTGCATTTTTACTACTTACTTACGTAAACCCAGTGAGACAGAACAACACAGGTAACATGATGGAGGTTTATTATAAGTAGATATCAAAGGACCAGGAGAAGATAAGCACTCATTACCAGCCAGCCCCTCAAGGCCTAGGGAAGCAGTCCACGGTAGATGAAGTCTTGTTTGTATAATGCAGGTAAAGAATTACAGAAAACAAGCAGCTATCCTGAGTATATAACCCAGTGGCAATATTATTCATTGGGCTTAAAACATGGAAGGATATGTTGTTTCCAAGACAACAGGAACAGAGATCTGGGTGTTCCAGTCAGCCTCCCATTTCAAGATGTTGCATCCCTAACATAGAGAACTACAATTGAGAAAGAGAGAAGTAAAAAAATTCTGAATAACTTGTTCTGAATGTATGAATGTATAGTGTGTGTGTGTGTGTGTGTGTGTGTGTGTGTGTGTGTGTGTAGGGGGTTGCTAATGGTATGTAGCTCAGCAGCAGAGCACTTGGGTGGCATGTGTGAGCCCCTGGATCCAGTTTCCAGCATCTCAGGAAAATAGTATAGGAGCTGGAGAGAGAGCTCAGCAGAGAGAGCTCAGCAGAGAGCACTTGCTGCTCTTAGTTCCTAACACCTATGTGTTAGCTCACAGCTATCTGTAACTACAGTTCCAGAGACTGATGGCCTCTTCTAGCCTCTGCATGCATTTACACATGTGATGCACATACATACATACATACATACATACATACATGCAGGCAGTAAAGTGTGTTTCTGTTGCTATTATGATATGTGAGTCTTTTGATAGAAAGCACATAATTCATTCAGTTAACAGATGGAATGCAGTGACGATACCATTAAATTATACCAGTGATTTGATAGTCATCTCAGTGTATCTAAATATACTGTGTTAACAGTCTAACAATGTATTTCTCAACATATCCCCAGCACTGGCATTGTGTGTGTGTGTGTCTGTGTTGGTAGCAAGCCATTAATGGCATGATTGGCCGAGTACAGATTACTGATTTACATTTTATGCCTTAACTCACTTTTCTCCATAGACGTCAGAATTGATGTCCTAACTAGGAATGATCCCACCTCTGATCATTCACCTCGTGTCGCTTGACCAGGTGCATGTAACTAGACCTCATATCCACGTCTCTTTCATAGACATGAACAAAGTTATGCATGCTGACTATTCTAAAACTATAAACTCTGCATCAGTCTTACATTGAGAGGCTAAGACTAAAAAGACTAAAAGTGAGATAGCAAGTCATGCGTCTTAGAATCCAGAAGATTAAAGCATTTAACTTAAGTGGAGATGGGCAGTGAACAGAAAAACTTTTGGTTTTTTGAGACAGGGTTTCTCTGTGTAGTCCTGGCTGTCCTGGAACTCACTCTGTAGACCAGGCTGGCCTCGAACTCAGAAATCCGCCTGCCTCTGCCTCCCAAGTGCTGGGATTAAAGGCGAGCACCACCACCGCCCAGCAACAGAAAAACTTTTAAAGACTTATTTTTGTTAGAGAATGCAGAAGAAACAAAAGAACGTTTGTAGAGTTAGTAAGTTCCAACTTAACAAGCAAGTAAGTAGTGCTTTGTTTAATTTGTTTCTGAAATATATTCTACATTCGTGTTGTGCATTGGTAAAAAGAAACAGTTTGTATTATTTGCTTTATGATTTCTCTAAAGTGACTCCTTCCTTGCCTGTGTGGTTTTAAATGACTCCCTAAAAGTAATTTTTTAAAAATTATGTGTTCCAAATTATCCCTGCTTTTCCTAGGATGGTGTGTCTAATAAAGACTTATTTCGGTTAGGCATTGATTATATTTGCTGTTTGATATGAAATGTCTTGGCTTTTTGTTAGGTTTTGGTTTGCTTGCCAATTTTTGTACTGGAAACACCTATGATTTGGGGATGAAACTGAGGGAGAAATTCAAACTTGGGATCTAACACCACCAAGTTAGGGAGGATACGAGAGAGAAAGCCTCGCTGCTTCTTTTGAAAAAAGTGAATTGTTGTCACCTGATTTTAATGAGAAGATAGAGATATGCTGCACAGACTTACCAGGTTCCAGCCCAGGTTAGACCTTTTGTGTACATTACTTATTCTTAAAGCAATCCTACCTTGAATGTTCTGATAAACTTGGAACAATTAGCACATTAACTGGAACACTACAAGTTGTAACTGCCAGTGTGATAGTTCAGTGTTACTGTTTTACAGAAAACGTATTTTTTAAAGATCATTAAGAGTTATAAACAATAAAGAGGGTTAATGTAGGTCTGTATGGTGTATGTGGCTTTAAAGCCAATGCTAGGTTTACTTCTGTTATTGTTAAATGTTTTTTTGTTTCTTTTTTTTTTGTTGTTGTTGTTGTTGGTTTGGTTTGTTTCTGTTTTGTGCTGGGTATTGAACCCAAGACCTTTTGGCATGTTCTGTCAGTGAGGTATGCCCCTTACTATAGTATCTGTCTGTTTAAATACTTACCATCCTATCAGGCAGGATTCAGACCACAAACTTTCCATTCAGAGTATGGGACCATGAGTAAGTCATAGTAACTCTGAATATAATAGAGCTGATATGGGGAAGGTTATAGGTCCTTGGACTCTTCCAGAACCAGGTGAGAGGTTCATACAGAAGCTAGCAAGTCTTTGAATTGGATAAGGTTTCTTTCTTGGGGCTTGGAAGGTATTTATTTACTTCTGAAAGAATTCAAATGTCTTTGAAGGGTCCTGCTTCCTTTTTCTAGACATAGCCACTGCTGTAATTTTTTGTTAATCATCATTAGGCTTTTCTAGTTTTATTAGTTTTGTGTGCTTTCTTGAATGTTCATTTTGATTCAGCCAATTTCTTTGTTTCATAATTTGTGTTCATTTTGTTACTATTTAGCTATTATTTGAATGTGGCACACGAGCTTATTGCTACTGTACAGACATTTAGACTGTTATAAAGGAAGACTTTTATGTAAAATGTTACTGGTATTCTTAGAACATGTCTCTAGATGGTAAAGTATGAGTTTTCTGTATGTTTTTTTTAGTTGTGGATTACAGATATGTGCTTTGTGCAAAGGGAGTTGTACATTTACTCAACAAATGTCTATTGAACATCATGTTGCCAGGCCCATTTGTTTGGTGCTTTGGATTATCAGTGAACTTAAGAGACCAAACATATCTGTCTTTATGGAATTTATATTGTGCTTGGGATAGCCAGGTACTAAGTAGACAGCGTAAGTAGATAACATAGGAAAGTGATAAGTGACAGGGAAAGGGAGACAGTCTTAGAGCCGGTAAAAGGGTCAGATGTGCAGGAAGACAGACACTCTCAAAGGCAGTGGGACCCAGGACAATGGAGCTGGCTTTATTCAGAGCATTAAACAGTTTATACTGAGGGTTAGGAAAGATCATGAGTAAAGTTCTCAAGAGTTCAAGCTGTATACAACCACAAGGACAAGCCATATGCGGCAAAAACATGTAGAGCCATGTAAAGGACAGTTTCAACATTTAATTGAACAGCAGCATCAAGCAACAGTGAATACTCTAAAGTAAAGCCACTCCTATCTGTTAAACCTGAGATGAGCATGAAAACACAGTCCAAGAAAGGGCTGGGTTTTTTGTTCTGTTTTGTTTTTTAACTATTTCACTTTGAAAGCAATTACAGACTCACAGGACATCATAGTATTATTTTTTTATGAAATGATTATGTCTTCCATAACCACAATATGATATCAAAACCAGAGACTAGCATGGTAGTGGATGCACTTGTGTTCCATTTCATCCTATGTATAGAGTGTAGATTTATGTAACCACTGTTAGTACAAAATAATGATTCTCCTTTAAAAGGATTCGGAAGATGGGCATAGTGGAACATGGCTGTTACCCAGAGATTTGAGTGGTACAGCCAACTAAGCCTGCAGGGGACATTCACATTCAAACCACGAGTGTCTGTGAACCTTGTTGAAGTTTCTATTATAAGATAGATCAGTGCTCTGTATGATACATATATATATATATATAT